TCAATTCAATTAAAGGCACAGGCTCTGCTAATGCAGCACTAGTGTTATCTGGTTTGAGTATATCCTTTAATATCATATTGATATTAATATTGATTGCTGTTATTTCCTATCAGTAAGTATAACATTAAATTTGACTGCACGTGGACATTGTTTTTATTGCATTTATTAGTTGCAAGAAATCAGTGATTAATAATAACATACCACCACCAGTACCAGCTGCTACTACTCAGGCTAATAATATGATGTATGATAGGAATGTGAGCTATGAACTACACACAGTAACAAATGAGTATGTCAAATAAATATAATTATAGTTATAATAATAATTCTAATTAGTAGGACTGAGGAGTATGATTATATTTGATTCATTGCTCAAGTTAATACTTACAGCTGCCAATCAGATATTATTAGCTAATGGCTACTTAATTTGATCTTTTACTTTTTATAATGCACCTTCTTTTGTTTCCTTTTACTGTACATAGACGGTCATTAATAATGTACTTCATTGACAGATGTAAGATTGTATAAGCTAGCTAATTACACTGATGTAGTTTACCGGTATTTTCACTTGACCAGAGGTAGTACAAATTGCTTAATGTACCATACATAAGTTAACCTATATTATGAATATATTACTATACCTGGATGAAGCCTTGCTGATGAAACAGTTCTATTTGTTTTATGTATATGCATATCAAGTATACATTAGGGTGTAGTAAAGGCCACTTAGAGGCCACAATTGTTGACTTGCTCTCAGCATGTCAGCATGCATGCAGTAACTGCAATGCAGGCATAGTTTATAGAGTATAATATGAATACTTCATATTAAGAGCACCCCAGGGGTGATGTCATTGGGGGGGGGGGCGGTGCATTGGCACTCATAATTGACCGAAATGCTCCCTATTAGAGATTTATGTAGTTGTATTTTGAGAAGTACTTCAATTTGTCTTGATGTCCGTTGCCCATGTAGTTTTTCTGTCAACTCATGTCAGTTTGTAATAAATCATAGTATAAATTATCTAATTTTTTATTGTTTTTAATTAATTATTCTCTCTCTCCTCTCTGTCTAATCTCTCTTTAATTTAATGTATTTGTAATTCTAGTTTTCTTTTTATTCCTATGGTCTAAATTGTCATTCACTGTTTCTCTTAAGCTCAGAGAACAATTATTTATCTTTACTTTATTTGTATGATAATGTAATAGATATACTGGGATTTCTGCTCTCTTAGAAACTGTCCTTTATTCTCAGGATTATAAGTGATAATGATATCAAAACCAAAAAAACAATAAGACATGTCATACCGTAGGGCGCCTTTTGAAGAGCTATATATTCACA